AGCTTTGACCGCGTCCCGAGAGCAGTGGGGGACATTGACTCTGTGGGCCTTGTTCCACTCTGCAATTGTTGAGGCGGCTGTTGCTAGCTGTGGTCGTAAGGTGGCCGGTGCCAGTCGTGGTGGCAACCCCCGTACCCGCTGGTGGACACCAGAGGTTCGGGGAGCCGTCAGGCTGAAGAAGGAGGCCTACAGGGCGTGGCTGGTCTGTGGGTCTCCGGAGGCAGCAGACAGGCACCGGATAGCCAAGCGGGGTGCAGCAGTGGCAGTTGCCGAGGCAAAATCTCGGGCGTGGGAGGAGTTTGGTGAGGCCATGGAGAAAGACTATCGATCAGCACAAAAGAGGTTCTGGCAAACTGTCCGGCGCCTCAGGAGAGGAAGGCAGCAACTCGCTCACACTGTTTACAGTGGGGATGGGGAGCTGCTGACGTCAACTGAGGCTATAGTCGGACGGTGGAAGGAATACTTTGAGGAGCTCCTCAGTCCCACCTATGCGCATTCCGAGGAGGAACCAGAGCCGGGAGACCTGGGTATGGACTGTCCGATCTCGGGGGCAGAAGTTGTTGAGGTAGTAAAACAACTACTCAGCAGCGGAGCCCCGGGGGCGGAAGAGATTCGTCCTGGGTATCTCAAGGCTATGGATGTTGTAGGGCTGTCGTGGTTGACACGTCTCTGCAACATTGCGTGGTCATCGGGGGCAGTTCCTAGGGAGTGGCAGACCGGGATGGTGGTCCCCATCTTTAAGAAGGGTGACCTGAGGGTGTGTTCCAACTATAAGGGGATCACACTCCTCAGCCTCCCTGGAAAGGTCTACTCCAAGGTACTGGAGAGGAGGGTCCGATCGATAGTTGAATCTCAGATAGAGGAGGAGCAATGTGGTTTTTGTCCTGGCCGTGGAACTGTGGACCAGCTCTATACCCTTGCAAGGGTGATGGAGGGGGTATGGGAGTTTGCCCAACCAATCCACATGTGTTTTGTGGATTTGGAGAAGGCTTATGACCGTGTCCCCAGGGGCACCCTGTGGGGGACGCTCCAGGAGTATGGGGTGGGTGGCTTTCTGTTAAGGGTCATTCAGTCCCTTTACCAGAGGAGCGTGAGTTTGGTCCGCATAGACGGTAGTAAGTCGGACCTGTTCCCGGTGAGGGTTGGACTCCGCCAGGGCTGCCCTTTGATACCGGTTCTGTTCATTACCTTTATGGACAGAATTTCTAGACGCAGCCGTGGTGTGGAGTGTGTCGAGTTTGGTGGCAGGAGAATCTCGTCTCTGCTTTTTGCGGATGATGTGGTCCTCCTAGCTTCATCCAGCTCTGACCTTCAGCTCTTGCTGGGTAGGTTCGCGGCCGAATGTGAAGCGGCTGGGATGAGGATCAGCACCTCCAAATCTGAGACCATGGTTCTCAACCAGAAAAGGGTGGCTTGCCAACTTCGGGTCGGGGGAGAGGTCCTCCCTCAAGTGGAGGAGTTTAAATATCTCGGGGTCTTGTTCATAAGTGAGGGTAGGAGGGATCGGGAGATCAACAGGCGGATTGGTTCGGCGTCTGCAGTGATGTGGACGCTGAGCCGATCTGTTGTGGTGAAGAGGGACCTGAGCCAGAAAGCCAGGCTCTCGATTTACCGGTCGATCTACGTCCCAATCCTCACCTATGGTCATGAGCTTTGGGTAATGACCGAAAGAACGAGATCGCGGATACAAGCGGCCGAAATGAGTTTCCTCCGTAGGGTGGTCGGGCTCAGCCTTAGAGATAGGGTGAGGAGCTCAGACATTCGGGAGAGACTCGGAGTAGAACCGCTGCTCCTCCGGATCGAAAGGAGCCAGTTGAGGTGGTTTGGGCATCTGGTCAGGATGCCTCCTGGACGCCTCCCTGGGGAGGTGTTTCGGGAATGTCCTGCCAGCAGGAGGCCCCCGGGTCGACCCAGGACACGTTGGACAGGTTACATCTCCAATCTGGTCCGGGAACGCCTTGGGGTCCTGCCAGAGGAGCTGGTGGAGAAGACCGGGGAGAGGACGGTCTGGAGCTCCCTAGTTGGGATGCTGCCCCCGCGACCCGGACCCGGATAAGCCGAGGAAGACGACGACGACGATAAGACACTTTAGAACAATCTAGCTACTTTTAGAACATTACGTCACTGTTCAAAAATACTGAATATTCAGAATTATTAAACATTATAGTATATTTTAATAAAACATTATTGAACAACAGATACTATTTCTGATCAAATATAATTTATTAGAATAATTTCTATTTGAGGATCGGCCTCAATGTCATCTTCCTCCTCTTCATAATCATCACTGATGGCGAGATTGGTTGGGGCAATAACTGTCCTCCATTTTCTATAGAATTATATTCATTATCATAATTGTTATTATTACTTTTTTTTATGCTACAAACAGGTAAACAAAACTGTTTCTGTGTTTAAAAAAGAACGAAAGCATGGTGTTATTATTACTGTTAACATACTGTAAATATTACTAATATTTCTAAAAATCAACAGATTTTACCTAAAAATATTCAAAAATGTTTTTCCTTGTTCAGTGCTGTTGTATGTTCAAGTATGGCAGATTTGATTTTCATGCTGAGATTTCACCAGCTTCATTGAGTTTAACATTTACACACATTTATCCTTATTTAGCACAACTAGTCAAGCTTGTGATGTGAGAGTTTCATAAACCTAGCGTTGTTAGTTTTAGAGATCTGACCGTGAACACGAGAGGAGACCGAACAGTTTTCTGGCTCTGCAGACACAACAATACGGTGTGTTATAGCCCCGCCCTGATTGGTAGAATAGTGCCATGGTGCAATCCGTGACTAGCTCTGTCTCTGATGATTGTTTGGGTGAAATCCCGTAATTCTAAGAGTTTGTGAAAAGGCACACGACATCATTTATGATGTGAGTGGAAGTGTCTAAATGTAGACGTTGGCCTTATAAAGGGTTAAAACCACAAACATAAATGCTTTTATTGAGATTTTCTGTGACTGACCAACGCAAAGCAGCACTTCATTGTGAAGTCGAATGAAACTTATTCATGTTTTTTAACATTTTAACCAAATAAAGATGTGAAAAGTGTAGCGTGTCAGCTCTCCTGCATCGATACTTTGTGGAACCACCTTCTGCTGCAACTACAGCTGCAAGACTCTACCAGCTTTGTACATCTACCGGCTGCAATGTTCTTCTCTGCAAACAAACCAAGACTGGATGAGAGAATCTGAACAGCAGCTCTCACTGGGATTTAGGTCTGGACTCTGACTCGGCCGTTGTAACGCTGACCCGTGAAGCTATTTTGAATGTCTGTCTTCCTTCTCCTTCTGCCCCGCAGTGACAGGTTTGTGCTTTCTAAAGCTAATAAAATGATTAAGAACCTTATGGAGGATATACAAGGATTATCTGCTGAACTGCAAAAGAAGGAAATGCTGCTGGATGGCTCTAGACTGGTCTCCCTTCACTGGCCCAGGCCATTGTCAGTCAGTTTAAAAAAGAAACATCCATGCAGAACTCTCTGCTCCAAGACGCCGTTGCTTGGGATCCTGCTGCACCACGACAACCGACGTCCGGCTCTACTCCTGACCCATTTTCATCTTGGTAAGAGGTTGTGGTACGTGGCCGTAGGACAGCCCCTGTGGTTGATCCCAACCCCCCAACGTGACCTCAGCCTTTCAAACTGCTTCTCTCTACTTGCTGAGGAACAACCAGCTATATATACATATATATATATAAGGTGGTGTGTCTATGGTTATATTGTGATTTCTTAGTAAATATTCTATTTTGTGAGAGATAAACTTTATTGTATTTATTCTAGTGGATCTATAATTAAACGGGTAAACTAGTAGTAGCACATTCAACGTCAAAGAGAGTAAAAAGTTATTATCAGGAGAGGGAGAATATTTAAGTGGTTCTGGGCAGGGGCGGCGTTAGGCCCGGCTACTTGGGCTGAAGCCCCGAATGTTTCATGAAAAGCCCCGGATCTAAATCGCAGAAGTAACATGCAGTACCAAAGTCCAACAGAGAGGGAGCAGCTAGCAGTAGTTTGTATACAACCTGCCTGAGCCTCCACCACTGAAGAAGAAGCCCTTCAGCAGCCGGCTTCTTCTGCACTCTCTGCCTGAAACGCATGAGTGAAGATGGACATAAGGACGTTTTTTAGACCAAAAGTACGGCGACAGAACCCCAGCTTTGATGAGACTGGTGTTGACTCAGGTTTGTGAGTCTTATTAGAAAATATTTGTTGTGCTGCTGGTTTGCCTAAAGTTAGCTTACTATCAGGTAAAGTTGCTGGAGAAAGAAAGGGAATATTTACTATCATCTCACACTAAACACTAACAGGAACAATACTCTGCCCTGAATATGCTGAATATGTAGCTTCAGATTAAAAATTATGTGGTACAAGACAAATATATATGTTGTTGACTAGTGTGTGCCACGTGTATGCGCGTGCGTGTGCGTGTGTTAAGCCCCGGATCTTCTTCAGTCCTAAATCCGCCCCTGGTTCTGGGTCTTCCAGGTTCATCTCTTGGAGTAGATTGGCATAAACTCCTTGCCTGGCCCTTCTTTCCAGCCACCGTACCCATACTTTCCTAACCTTGAAATGCCGAGGGCGGCGATGCCTCATCAACAAAAAAGTAGAGGCATTTCCTCCGTTTCCAGCTCTGTATCCATTTTGTTTATTTTCTGACATGCAGACAGGGGGCTTTCATCTTGGGGTCATGTAAGTGGAGAACACGCTTTGATTGGCCACTAGAATATTACAGCTCAGCTAGCAGGTCACGTAGTGCGCACATGGTGAGTTTTGACCCCCGCCCCCATGAGGCAGAAAATATCTAACTGGTCAGATATTCACCTCCGCGTTTTGTGAGGCAGAAAGCTCAGTGAAAATCAGGCACACACAGCGAGGAATCTGCTGAGCAAACGGTCATTCGAGGGTGTTTGCTCTCGTGTGCGGCAGACTTTAGGAATACTCGGGCTGTTCCGCCTCTTTTCCTGTGATGTTTGTGTGCTGTGTGTTCCAGGACTGCTGACATTTGTGGACGATGGCCACAGCGGAGGAGTCGAGAGCCATGAGGGTGTGTTTGAGACCAACCAGCTACTGCGGAGAGAGAGCAACCATGGAGCTGTTCAGAGGGCACAGGCTGCTGCTGCCAAGGCCCGAGCTCTATCCATGTGATGGGACTACACCGCCCACAGTGCCCCCCCACCCAGATGCCACGATCATTCTCCTACTAACCTCCTCCTAAGTTGTTCTTCACCTTCAACTCATCAGTCTGCTGCTCTGACCAACAAAGTTCATAATAAGCAGTTTTCTGTTTTATTTTTTTATGTAATCTGCCGTAATCCAGTAAAGTCATGAGAATGAACACAGCCACTGACTCAGGATCAGCTGCACCAAACTTAGGGTTACCTTTTATTTAACTCACTGGTGCTAAATCTGACTAAGGATTCGATGAACTGGCAGCGCTCTGTCATATTGTCTTTTATGGGCATTTTCTAGGTGACGATGATGAGGTGAGAACTGGGTTTAAACTGGGCTCTTCCTTTCTGGGTTGTTTTTTGTTCTGGTTTTCCAAGAAATTTTGAATTCATTTTCTTTATCAGAGTCATGAATTATTCCTGGTTTAGTGCTTAGCTTCTTAGATGACCTGAAGTTGCAATGGCAAATCTACAAAACAGGCTAGCTTTTAAACACGAACGTGGAACTCTCCACCCTTCTGTTGGCAGTCATTCTTACGCCAGGTATGCCTGATATAGAAACGTAGCCAGGCAAGCCACCCTCTGTATTGAAATGAATAGTCTGGCCACGACCCATTGAAACCACCCAATGGGGCACAATCTACTGTTGTCTGTCAAAATGTGTCTGCACACAACTGGAAAGGGCTGGAGCCAATCAGAGCAACGGACAACGTGACATGTTCATTGCTGCAGAAGTCAGTCAATGGGGCAGACTCCCATACGCCGTCAAAGAAGAAGAAATATGTACGTCCATTTTTAAACAAAGACTCAAGTCCTTCTATTTGCTCATGTCTGAAAGAAAGGTCCAAGTCTAAATCGTCCGAAGTTGATGTCAGTCATTTCAAACAAGCGCCGTTCCTGAGCTAACTCTAGTGCCAGGCCCACCAAAACAGAGAGTGCTGTGATTGGCTAGACACAAACATTTTTAGGGCAATGGTAGACATCTAGAGTTACAATGGAGACTGGCTACACTGACTTTCAGAGCAAATTCTTTTTGCTACTGCTGTGGTTGGTCTGGATCCCTAGGCTCATGGGAATGTACGTTTCCAGAGTAAACGAGAGAGCGCTAAACACCAGTCGCAATTTTCTAGGTCCAAACATCTTTTGTTGTCTGTGACTTCAATTGGTGTTTTTCATTTTGGGACTCTGTCCTAAAGCTGAAGCGGTAGCAGCCGGCTGTTTCTCCCTCTCTGATATTATTGAGCACCTGTGATGTTCTGTTGCTGAATACGTGAGTGTGTGATGAGTGGAGGACCCAGGAAATGCAGTGGTTCGGTAGTTTGGTGAGACCAATGACTATAAAAGAAATATTGACAAACCATCCGCCATGTCATTTATAGGTTTCTAAAGAACTAAATAGAATTTCCGTTTGTGCACTAGGTGGGGAGGTAGGGTTGGGACTCTCCTCACTTCAGCGCGTGCAGCCGCATGGAGCAGCGCTCATCACCTCCATTTGGACAGGGGAGGGAGATAATGGGTTAGAGAGCACAGTGACTCCAAGATACGGTTCCACGGCCTTCACCGGTCACAGTCCCGCCCAGGCTGGGAGAGGGAGAAGAGTTACCATAGCGACGGCAGCATTCCACATTTCTTCTGAGGGGGGAGTTTACACTTCAGCCTCACAAACTCAAGGGCACCAGATTCAGATAAGAATTGTTTTGGGGACAGACAGAGATAATTTCCTCTCTGCCTTAGAGTTCTGTTGGTCTTCAACCCCTCTAGAACCAATAATGGCGTAATTAATCTATCCCAATCGATCCGTGCTGATCCGTCCACTCGCTCCTTGATGGAATCCACCTTCTGTGCCAGAGCCTGAATCTCAGCCAAAGTTCCAAGCTTACGACTCATCTCGACAATTATATGAGTTTGTGCGTTCACAGCATGATGCATTCCATCCCTGAGCTCCGGGATTGAGCCAATATTCCTCGAAAGCTCGTTAATTTTCCGGTAAGCCAGGTAACCGCTCAGGCCAAACAGCAGGAATCCTGACACCAAAATGACGAATATCCAGACATCTTCAGAATCCTCTACAGACAGCTGAGAGAGGCAGATCAGGTTCCACTGTTTCCAGGAGTCCATGATATATCCAGCTGGCTCTGTCCCAGAGGGGCATCCGGGAGCCCCTTCTCCCGTTCTCATCGTTGAAAAAATGTTGTCAATCGTGTTGAGAGACCAACTGACCAGGTCCATTTTTAATAATTTCCAGTTTCCAGAAAAATGCAGAAAGCGCCGTGCACAGACAGGACAAAGAGCCTTGGGATAAGGAGGGAGGGAGATGAGAAAAAAGCGTCTGTACTCTCCAAGAGCCGGAAGAGAAGGGTTAGAGACTCGGTTCCCAGCCCTATCATCATGTCACATTTCCAGAATAAGTTTGTCCAAATAATTCCATGATTAACATCCAAACATGAACACACAGAGGACACAACTAAAGTTCAGAAAGTCAAAATGGCAGAACATCTATTAACACGAGTCCCAGGCTGGGGCCTTCCCCGGGGCTAGCTGCTAGCGCTAGCTCTGACGCTTGTGCTAACTGTCAATCAAATCTAATTATTCATAATGTCATGAATGTAAACTAGATCTATTAAACCTAAAATGTGGTTTTGAACCAGGCTGTAAACACATTTTTTCTGCTGTGAAGTTGGCCTTTTTAACATGGGGCTTTGGAGCCAGCACCTAGTGGATGAGGGAGGAACTGCAATTTTCATCACTTTCTGGTTGGCATCACAACATTCAGACAAAGGCTTCCCCTTGGGAGAGGCAGACTTAGCTGTTATTGGCTGAGGTTTTTAGAAAATTGTGAGAAAACCACTTTTTTATCTCCACAAAAATAAAAAACTGAAAAATATGTTTAAAGGGAGCTTTTTTTTTGCAGATTTGCCATTAGCTTTTAAGAACTGAAGAGCTAGCTTGTAGTTGGGCCCAATTTTTCTAAAATATTAAAATAAAAAACATCCAACTCACAATTTATGGTGAATCAAACGGTGCAGAAACTGCAGAAACTGCTGTGACATTTAAGAGGCTGGAGAGTTTTGAAGATGGCTGCTTTTGTACTAGCTGTTAGCCTATCAGTCCTGTAGGGTGTAACCTGAATCTGTACAGCAGGCTCTAGATGGGAGTCATTTATACCTATGACACTGAGACAGATGTTAAAATGGCTAAAAATTACAATGGATGGTGGGCGTGCCGTAGACAGGAAGGAGAAATGGAAATCATTTCATTCATGGTTTTGTAAGTTTTAGTAAATAAAGTGAGTCTTTAGGATTTTATCAGTAAAAACAGATTCGGGAGAAATTCATCGAACCAGACAACTCTAATGATCTTAGTTCCAGTGAGAACGTATCCGGATTCCAGGAAAGCAGCCGATTCTAAACGGAACCGAGGTTCTTGAAGGAATTTGGTTAAACCTGAAATAGATGACTGTCAGTTGTTATCGTTCAGCTTCAGACGGCCTCTCAAACACAATCGTGTCATTTAGCACTAATGATGAAACTGTTGAAATCCAACGCTGTCGTCGTGAGGCAGCTGTGTGAGCTGCAGCAGAGGTCAGAGCCAACTGACAAAACAACCGTGTTCGTTTACAAATGAGCATAAATGAAAGTCTCATTAATAAATGATCATCTAAGTTTTTTCTCATTGCTAAACAGCTTTTAATGCAGATTCAGAGTCTGTAAATATTCACCACCTATAAATATCCAGTAGTTATCCCATTCCTGAATTCTCCTGGAGCCCGGAGCAAACTCACGTCGCCACGTCAGTTTCCCGCTTTTCCCTTTAAAAGGTTTCTGACCTCTGATTGGTTCTCCTCCCAGAACACGGAGTCAGAAGGGTTCGGGTCATCGCTGAAGAAAGCGTGAGCGCTCCTTCTTTCACTCAGTGCCATTTTAGACGAGACTGATCCCAGATCAGCAGGAAGCTCCTCCTCAGTGCCAACAGGCTGCAGCTGATCCAGAGTGAATGGCTGGTGATCAAAGAGCAGGGTGGGGGGTGCTGCAGGGTGGGGGGTGCTGCAGGGTGGGGGGTGCTGCAGGGTGGGGGGTGCTGCAGGGTGGAAGCACTTACATTGTGCAGGCTCCAGTAATAAGTGCAATTTTTGTGTTGGAGGTGCAGTTTGATAATAGCGTCCAATTTCTGCCTGAGAGAAACTTTTCTCCTCCTAGTGGCTATGAGCTCCAGAGGTCCAGAGCGGGTTGTCCAGTAATCGGAAGGTTGCAGGTTCAATCCCGGCTCCGGACAGAGAAGTCTGCTGTTATGTCCTTGGGCAAGACACTTAACCCGCCTTGCCTGCTGGTGGTGGTCGGAGGGACCGGTGGTGCCTCTGTCAGTGCGCCTTAGGGCAGCTGTAGCTACATCGTAGCTCATCAGCATCAGTGTGTGAATGTGTGTGTGAATGGATGAATGATACACTGTAGTGTAAAGCGCTTTGGAGTCCTTCATCTGAGAGGCGCTATACAATTCAATTCAAGTTTATTTATAAAGCGCCAAATCACGACAAGAGTCGTCTCAAGGCACTTCACACAGTAATCCTTCCAATTCAGGTCAGTTCATTAAGCCAATCAGAAATAAAGTTTCCTATATAAGGAACCCAGCAAATTACATCAGCAATCCTCATACTAAGCAAGCATGCAGCGACAGTGGAGAGGAAAACTCCCTTTTAACAGGAATAAACCTCCAGAGAATCCTGGCTCAGTATAAGCAGCCATCCTCCACGACTCACACACACACACACACACACACACACACACACACACACACACACACACACACACACACACACACGCACACACACATACACACACACACACCAAACAGTGTGTCTATGGTTACACCGTGATTTCCTAGCAAATATTCTACTTGGCGAGAGATAAACTTTATCGTATTTGTCCTAGTGAGTGTATAATTACAAATGCCGGCCGTTTATCATTTATCTATGTGACGCACT